TTGAACAAACTTGGTAGACACCCATTCGAACATGTTTCATGCTAAATATCTTAGCTCTAGCTCTTTGGGTTCTTTAAAAGAAGATTTTTTTAAGTTTTTACTATATGCATATAAGGAAAATCAATGACCCCCCGGGGCGGGGCCAATTTTGACCCCAGGGCTTTTATTTGAACAAACTTGGTAGACACTCACTAGAAGATGTTTCATGCCAAATATCTAAGCTCTAGCTCTTATGGTTTTTTAAAAGAAGATATTTAAAGTTTTTTCTTTCGGTTGCCATGGCAACCAGAGTTCTGCATGGAATTAAATTCTTTGAACAATTTTTAAAGGTGACCGACAAAGGAACATTCCTGTGAAGTTTGGATGAAATTGGCTTAGTGGTTTATGAGGAGATGTCATTTAAAGTAAAACTTTACGGACGGACGACGGACGGACGGACGCCGGACGAAAAGCGATCACAAAAGCTCACCCTGTCACTTTGTGACAGGTGAGCTAATAACAAAGTTATAGCCACTAATATAAAATATCAGCAAAAATCAAGCAAAATTTAGTCATTTGAAGGTCATTTATGAATGATGGTCAAGGTTTTCCTTTTCCCAAGAGTATAAAGATTATACAACAACAACTGAAAAAGTTATGATTAAGGCTAAAGTTTGCGGACGGCACCATGAGTGTAACCATAAGAAAATAAGTCGAGCTAAAAATCATTGAAGACGTACAATGTAAATGGAAGGATGATGGATGACAGACAGAAGGTGACCACAATAGCCAACTATGAGCATGTTGTGCTCAGTTGATTCCAGACCAGGGCAGCAACTCAAAACTAATGCAATGCATGTTGGCAAAAACAGACATATAAATAGGCAACATTCAATGTAACATCATTACAACTTTGATGTGTAATGGGTCACATCAAAAGCTCTCCAACTCATAAAAGGAACATAACTAGGCTATCTATATCATCCTAGTTTTGCAGAGATAATTTCAAAATAACTGCATACCATGGATGATGTAGATCAGGGACAAATGAAGGCCTTACTGAATCTAGTTATGAACTCCTTGTGACTCTTTTAAAGAAGAGCACTCAAAGCAAACTTACTGTCAATAGCTTTGGGACCACAAACTTCGAATCTACTGCAACAAAATAGCTGAATCTGGGGTCCATATAAAGTGCGAAGAAGATATATCGATACAAAAATCACTACTGCAAATAATACCGAGCCTCCAATTATAAAACCTAGTTCAAGTGGTGACAGTGGTTTGTCTGAAAAAAAAAAAAAAAAATTGTAATTAGCATTTATCTGTCATATATATTTAAAAATCAACATTTTGAACACCCCCTCCACACCAAATGAAATTAAGGAAATAATAGGACTGTTGCATCCTAACAACATAATAAACAAGCTTTAAAACAGCAAGTAGTAAACTTATTTCTCCCTGAAACCTCAAAACCTGTTCATTAATCTCTAAAGATGGAAAATTTCTTTACTCTGCAATATAAATACTCGTAGAATCATTATAAATTGTCTTTTCAAGGGTTGAAGTCAATACATTTGAAAATAATGAGATAGAATGTGACACTGTAACATTGCTCTAATAAATGAATTATTACCATACTACTGCATTTTTGCCATATAAACCAGTACTGTCCCTCTTTTATGATCTTTACATTAACCATTAAACATATAATGTGACCTTTATTAAGGAGCAGACAGACAGACAGATATCTTTATTCACTCAAGCACATTTGTACATACAATATGAGGATTTTCTAATATAATGAGTATAATACATTTGTTTTCCAGCAGTAAACATACATAATTTTGCACAATAGAATTTTTTTTTAAGTAAACAATATGGTGAATTATTACAGTGTGTTTTCTTGGGGGGAATTCGGATATTCTTAATTCTGAATAATTTAACAGTTGATCTTGATAAGAAAAACAAGAAATAAAACTAGAACTGTGTCCAAAGGACACGGATGCCTCCACTGTGCAGATGTGCTCGTAAACAAGAGCATGCATATCTGTATGTAAGATTTTTATGTGGAACGTTTTTTTAAAATCTGCCATCCGGTTTAAGAGGAGTTGCGTTCACAAAATTTTTACATAGTATATAGTGAAAAAATCAACAAAGGGCCATAATTCTGTTAAATTTGGTCGCAGCGAAAATTCCTTCCTTTACTATCTACACATTAAGGTTGTTCATCCCTGGAAGTTTAAGCAAAATCTGCCATCAGGTTTAAGAGGAGTTGCGTTCACAAGATTTCAGGACGTACGTACGGACGGACAGACAGACAGATGGATGGACAAGTGCAACGCTATATGCTCCCACTTTGTGGGGGCATAAAAAACCCATACATATATAAAAGAATGTACTAAGAAATTCAATCAAATTATAAATACACCTGTATGCTAATACTTTACGTTCAAATATAATTTTGAGATTTTCCCTTGATTAGTATATCTGTAACAATCATGTCACGCTTCATCAATATAGATCATGGCCTTGGATAAAAATATGTGTGTACAATGTATGTGTATAATTATTGTTATTTTTTTTTTTTTTAAATATATTTTTGAAAGAGTTTTGAAACGATAAGATTGTAATTTAATTACGCTGTTTTGAGTAAAATTCAACAAGGTAGCGTTATAAGGGATAATTTATAATTGGTGGAAGACATAAATAGATATGCGCACATGTAGATATTATGCTCAATATGGGAAAGTACTCATCCCATAATTCTGTGTATATATAACAATACACTTTAAGAGTATATATATGTATTCAAGTATTGCAGAAGTATCTTTTTGGATTATTTTGACGAGACAAAAAAAAGGTAAGTCTGTAAAACTGTTATCATAAATATGTTGGATGCTACAGTATATAATTAGAATTTTGCCAAGACTATACGGATAAATTTTCAAAGATTCAACAGTTTGGGCACATTTGTTGTATTTATTAAGCTTTCAAAACTGTTTTCGTTATCAACTAAGTGAAAGTTATTAAGATACATGCTGCGTTGATTGTTAGAATAGTTACAGTTAAAGATGTAATGTCTTTCTGTGCCTGGGGAGCCACTTGTACACAGTTAAAATAGCTACAGTTAAAGATGTAATGTCTTTCTGTGCTCGGGGAGCCACTTGTACACAGTTAAAATAGCTACAGTTAAAGATGTAATGTCTTTCTGTGCCTGGGGAGCCACTTGTACACAGTTAAAATAGCTACAGTTAAAGATGTAATGTCTTTCTGTGCTCGGGGAGCCACTTGTACACAGTTAAAATAGCTACAGTTAAAGATGTAATGTCTTTCTGTGCTCGGGGAGCCACTTGTACACAGTTAAAATAGCTACAGTTAAAGATGTAATGTCTTTCTGTGCTCGGGGAGCCACTTGTACACAGTTAAAATAGCTACAGTTAAAGATGTAATGTCTTTCTGTGCCTGGGGAGCCACTTGTACACAGTTAAAATAGCTACAGTTAAAGATGTAATGTCTTTTTGTGCTCGGGGAGCCACTTGTACACAGTTAAAATAGCTACAGTTAAAGATGTAATGTCTTTCTGTGCCTGGGAGCCACTTGTACACAGTTAAAATAGCTACAGTTAAAGATGTAATGTCTTTCTGTGCTCGGGAGCCACTTGTACACAGTTAAAATAGCTACAGTTAAAGATGTAATGTCTTTCTGTGCTCGGGGAGCCACTTGTACACAGTTAAAATAGCTACAGTTAAAGATGTAATGTCTTTCTGTGCTCGGGAGCCACTTGTACACAGTTAAAATAGCTACAGTTAAAGATGTAATGTCTTTCTGTGCTCGGGGCGCCACTTGTACACAGTTAAAATAGCTACAGTTAAAGATGTAATGTCTTTCTGTGCCTGGGGAGCCACTTGTACACAGTTAAAATAGCTACAGTTAAAGATGTAATGTCTTTCTGTGCTCGGGGAGCCACTTGTACACAGTTAAAATAGCTACAGTTAAAGATGTAATGTCTTTCTGTGCCTGGGGAGCCACTTGTACACAGTTAAAATAGCTACAGTTAAAGATGTAATGTCTTTCTGTGCCCGGGGAGCCACTTGTACACAGTTAAAATAGTTACAGTTAAAATGTAATGTCTTTCTGTGCCTGGGGAGCCACTTGTACACAGTTAAAATAGTTACAGTTAAAGATGTAATGTCTTTCTGTGCTCGGGGAGCCACTTGTACACAGTTAAAATAGCTACAGTTAAAGATGTAATGTCTTTCTGTGCCTGGGGAGCCACTCTTACACAGAGGACAGGTTCTATGTAAGAAAGCGGTACCATCATAGCGCCCGGTCTCTGATGGGAGTCTTGTATTACATGTTCTGAATTTGAAAAGGGTAATGTAGTAATTGCATGGGATTAAATTTAGATAGTTTTCATAGGTTAGCGACTTTTTAAAACTATTGTATATACGGCCTTTATTTGATGATTGCATTTGATCATGCCATATTTGTTTATATTGATCAATTAAAGTGAGTTTAATGCAATATGGAATACTTTTATTTACCGCTGTATTTTGATTAATCCATAAGTCAGTCCTGCCAACAGAGTTTAAAATGTCTTTGATTTTATTTATCCACTTTTAATTTTGGTCTGAATGATTTAACATAAATTGGTACAGGATATATTTTCTTTGCTTTCCAAGTAAAAGTCTAACCCAGAAAGATATCATCCTAGTCTTAACTATGATTTCGACAGGGTATCTGCCTAATTCACCAAGAAGCATATATTTTGGAGTGCTTTTCCTAGCACAGGTTATTCTTCTAAGAAATGTATTATGGATTTTTTCAAGAAGTTCTAAGTTCTCAAAGCCAAATATTTCAGATCCGTAGGTTAAGATAGGCATTACAGTATGATCAAAAAGTTTAAGTGTAAGATCGATTGGTAAGTCTGCATTATTGCAGCGTGAATACAGCAGATTTAGGGCTTTATTTGCTTGTTGGGTCACATGTTTCCTTGCATTTAGAAAAGAGCCGTTACTGGTAAAGGTTACTCCAAGATAATGATAACATTCTTCAATAGCTATGGTCTGGTTACCTAGAGTAAAATTATATCTATTTTTTGCATTTCTACTTCCAAAAACAACTATTTTGTTTTTCTCAGCATTAACTTTTAGTTTCCATTCATTACAATATGAATTTAATGAGGATAAGCATTTTTGAAAGTCGTTGGCTGATTCTGACATTATAATTGTGTCGTCTGCGTATAATAAGAGTAATAGTTTAAGCCATGTTTCATTAGTTATAGTATCAGTTAGATTTACTCCTAAGGTCCATTTGATATAAGATAAGATTCAAGGTCGTTTAGATAAATGGAAAAAAGTATCGGGCTCAAATTTTCCCCCTGGCGGACCCCTATTTCTGAAGTAAAAAATTGAGATGTTCCTCCTAAATGTACTACACAGAACTTAATATTATTGTACATGTTGAAAATAACTTGAAAAACTTTACCATTTATAAAATATTGAAGTAATTTATGCCATAGCCCAAAACGCCAAATAGTATCAAAACATTTAGAGAAATCAATAAATCCATTTTTGTTTACTATTCTTTAAAATTTCAATTAATGTATGCAATGTAAATAAGTGGTCCAAGCAAGAGAAGCCATTTCTAAAACCTGCTTGTGATTCATTTAGGAGATTGAATTCTTCCATATAATTGTTAAGCCTTGAATTGAGGACAGCAGTGAATAATTTACCAAGACATGATAATATTGTTATTGGTCTGTAAGAATTAGTGCTTTTCGATTCACCTTTATTCTTATAAATTGGATATATCCAGCCTTCCAGCCAAACAGACAGTAAATGTCCGTAATCAAGAATTATGTTAAAAAGACGTTCATAGATGGGTAAAAGCATAGATTTTGTACTCTTAATATATTCATTTATTATACTCTCAGAGGGACCTGAGGCCTTGCCATTATTTATTTTGTTGATACAAGTTAGAATTTCTTCTTGCGTTATGACTTCATTTAAATAGACATTTGAATTATCTATAAATGTTTGATTTAAATTAATATTTTCTGTATCATTATGTGGATTACTATTTACATTTTTAAAGTACTCGTAAAACTCGTTTATAGAGGGAGATGGCTTACTACCTGATTTTGGATTAATAGATTTTAGAAAATTCCAGTATTGTTTTGTGTTTTTGGTTTGCATTTTTCTTAGTTTATATGAATTATCATGTTTAAATTTGTTTATGTTATAGTTCATTGTTCTTTTATATTGCTTGCTACTATTTTTTAAG